TATATATATATTACTTGTTTTGAGACTGATATACAAGCAAGAACAGAATGTGTTGAATTGTTCATCTGAATTTTTATTCTTATTTCAAGAACTCTTACACTTCCAACTATTTTACTGCATTGGCAAATCATTTCACCTAATTTTCATTCAGGCAATAATTTATTATTCTTCTTTACTTATTTTAGATGGGTAACTTTTGCACTGTAATCACTTGGTTGATTTTTACAACTGATGTTTTACACTCTATCCAAACAAGATGGATCTATCCAAACACAAAAATGGGCACAACTCAATTAGTTTTATGAATATTGAGTTAATATTTGATGTGATTGAAGCTGATGGTCATTCCCAATACTGACTTTGAGTGCTTAAATCTACAGGCCTGGAAATTTTCTTTACTTCAAGAATTGCAATTGTCGTATCCTAGTGGCAGATGATTTCACTTAATGTAAGAAATTTGAGAAGATTTGGATTCAAACTGAAATAATCTGCAAATTTTCTGCTTTTTTTTCAGAAATCAGTCTAAAAAACATCTAAAATAATTTTGACTTGAAATAAAATTAAAATATTTAGACCGACAATGTTTGCAGTGTAACTGGTAAAATAAGCCTTATTTGTCTGTTAGCAAAAAATTTGTCAAACCACTCGATGGATTTATGAAACTTTCATAGAGTATCTGCATATCTGTAGTCTGCTGCCGACGTTAGCTCACACAAAAATGGCTAAATCTCTGTGAATTTTACAGATCTGAGCTAAAGTTTCTGACAGTTATTAAAATGCATACACCAAGCATATAATGTTATTTAAAGGATTTGACCCAAATGAAATTATTTATTTATTTATTTATTTATTTTCGCCGTAAAATGATCTCGGATCAGAACTTTATTGGGCATTGCTGGTTTTCATTCTACATTAGAATTTGTTTGTTTGTTCTTGTGTTATCCTTAATCACCATTTACACTCTAAACTGTGCAGTACAATCTGCCTTCTGCTCAACACAAACAACTCGGTTTGAGTCTAGTCAGAACTGAAAAGGTTTCATTTATAGCTGTAGCTGCATGCTTCAATGTTTACTCTCTTAGGGAGTCAACCTCCTCCCAACTTCAGGTATTTTCAGCCCTTAGACAATCTTCCCAGCAGAAGTGGTGTGATGGTCACCGTGGTGAATTTCACTTCTCTCTGTTCTGCCTCGTTTGTTCTCCGTTAACTCGTCCTGTTCCTTTTATTTAGCTCTGTTTTCTAGTTCCACTCCCATCCTGCTTTCTGGTTACACATTCATCTTTTTTTTTCAGTATGTGAGCGGTATGAAAATGTGACTGTGTGTTCTCCACTTTTCTGACCTTCCTGTTATTTGGCAGCATTTTTAGCTCTTTGGTATCAGGTGCAGTGAGTGACAGTTATTGGTCGGGTGTCAGTGGTTCAGGCTCAGGCGTTACCTCTCTTCAAAGCTGATCTCATTTCCTGCACACTTCCTCTGTGGGGTTAACGGCTCGTAGGCTTTTACACATATCCTGGCTAAGGGTATAGGAGGGAAAACAAAATAGCCAAGGCAGCCAACAAGTGGAACACTGTGTGTGTGCAGTAGTGTTACAAAGTTTTGTTGTTTAGACTTCAGCTTTTATCATGTGTGCTTCACAATTGCTTATTTATCATCTCCTTTTTTCTCCCTCACCAAATTATCCAACTATAAAAAAAAGAAATGCAGGTTGCAGAGCTTGAGCTTTTTAATGATCTTTTTTTTAATGTAATCCAACAAAAAAGGGTAATTTTTATACAATGTATTTGTGATGGGCTGAAACCATCAAAAACCAAACTTTTTTTTCTGAAAAAGTTCATGTAAACAGGCTTTGTGTGTCCTGATAAGGGCAGGACACTAAGTGTTCAAATCAGTTTTACATAAAAATAATTTTATAAAAGTGGGAGAATTTATTGTCATGCTCACTCAAAAAACAAAAACCTAAAAAAGAGCAACGGAACCAGAACTTAAAATTAGCATTCAGCATTAGTTTCAGAGGACATGCAAACAGGGTTCCCACGCATTGGTCAACATCAAATTCAAGGACCTTTCAAGGACTTTCCAGCACCAATTTCCTTAAATTCAAGAACCACGCACGACGGCAATTACCAACTGCTACCACTGAATGTTACCAATAAATATCATGTAAATTCAACGAAAAACTGAATTACATAGAAGTTGAGTCAGAATCAATGAAATAAAGTGGATTAAATGCACACCCTACATTCATATCCACAATACATGGACATGTAATTATGTCCTGGGAGGTTCGGAAGTTTGGGAGGAGGGGATGTGAACACGTCCAGACGCTTGATGACAGGAGCAGCTGTGGTGCTCTCACCTGGGCTCAAAGAACGACCCGCCCTACTTTGCTCTGATTGGGTAAAACTATGACTATGGTTCGTCTAATTTTTGCCTGTTTTCACAAACTTTCCAGGGCCTTAAAATCTTTTTTTTAATTCACAAACTTTCAAGAATGTCAAGGACCCGTGGGAACCCTGTACAAAAGCAAAAGTATGAAACTAACTCTAATTTCTTGTCATTTTACTTCTAAGTACACAAACTTTCTAGTAATTACTTGAAGTGGTCTTGATCGTTAATTTTTCCAACTTTGAAGCTATGTTGAGATTGACTTTCTTATTGATTTTTTTATTATCATCTTTAGTAAAGTACAAAAATAAACTGACAGCATTTTAGTAAAATATGTTTCCTCATAAGCTGCTAAACCCCTTATCATTTGTTCTGATGGGATATTTTTTAAACTTTATTAGCTTGAACATTTACAATATTTTATCAAGTTTTGAAAAAAAATGACAAACCATTTTTATGGCTTTTTTTCCTGTTAGAGTTTTAGGTTATAAATAATCCACCATGATCTAGAGTGTAATATACCATTTGGTCTATAATAATATGTCTTAAAGTCTTTGATTTTCCTGTCTGGTAGACTTACTGGGGGCATGGAGAGCAGAGGGAAAGGAAGTGTGATAAACTGTTCATGGAAACTAAAGAGGGGGCCCTGTCTGACCATGGTAGCTGGGTTTAGTAACCACAGACAAAGATGGAGTGAAGCTGATAGCAGGGGCCCAAAACTGATGGCTGTATTTGTGTGACAAAGCCTGCCCCAGTCTACTTTATATATTCAGGCTGAAGGGTTTCCTTGTTGTTTGTTTGTTTGAAAACAGATTTATGATTGCCGTCTGTCATTATGTAGCTTAAACATATAGTTCAAACATTTAAAGCACATAAATCACCAATGGAGTTCTTTATGGTAGTTAATTTTTTTAACCTGAAATTAAACCTCAGTATAAAAAATGTCCACATTGAAACTGTGAATTTATTACAGGAGTGTGTTGTTCCAAGATGAGTTAGCAAATTGATTGCTATGATGTACCCCTAACAGAATATACCCTGAAGTTATTTCCAACTTTTAATATTCATCTTATAATTGATTAAAAACAAATACAGCCCTAGAAATTGTCAAACTAATAAAATGAAAGCTTTTGACCATACATGAATTATGTATTGCAAAGTGGAGCCCATCAGGTCTTTGAAAAAGTAAAACACAATTGTGTTGCACAAAGAACTGATTTTAATGTGTCTGCAGAACTCACTGCAAAACTAGAAATGTGAACTGGAAAACATCCCTGCTAGTTTTACTGCTGATTGAAAAATGTAGCCCTAATAGCACATTGTTAATTTTAAGACTTTCTCTATGAAAAAATAATTAAACATTTTAAAATGCCCAACTTTTAAGTATTGTAACACTTTGTTGTAAATCAGACAATGTGTTCTGTAAATTTTACCTCTGTAGGTCAAATGTGCACAGCTGTCACTTTTATATTACTTAAACCAAATACTGAAATCGTCTGCAGTTTACTAGTAGTTATTGTAATGCAAAATGTATAAAACATAAATAAGCAGAGTAACTATCTGATGAAAAGGCAAGGTGGGGTTAAATGAATTAAAAAGGGGAGTGCTTGAACTATGCAGGGTTCCCACACCTTGGTTAACATCAAATTCAAGGACCTTTCAAGGACTTTCCAGTACAATAATTTGGGGGTACATGTTTGTATTGTGGCTGTGGAGAAGCTTCTGCATATTATATATATA